GTACGACTATAGCCCCCTTACCTGTGGTTTCAGTTACCCATGGTCAACTGCGGTCTAGAAGTGGACGAGCCTCCTTCTGACATGTCAGAAGGTCAATAGCAGCCGAATGAACACTACGTCATTCCCCTCATGTCATCTCATCATGCAGGCATTTTATCATCTTGAATCATCACAAGAAGGCTGCGTACAGGACAAATAAGGTATTTTGAGACAGAGATGCCACATTCACAATAGTATATTGTTATGATTGTCTTATTTCATTATTAGTTATTGTCGCTAATCTCTTACTATGCCCAGTTTATAAATTAAACTTTATCATAAGTATGTGTGTATAGAAAAAAACATAGTAAATATAGGGGTTGGTACGGTCTATGGTTTCAGGTGAGACTGTATCCCCTGTGGAGAAAGGGCTACTGCTGTATCTTCTTCTCTAATGAGCTGATATAGGTGTCCATCTGTGTACCTTAACTCTACACATATGTGCATAGTGCATCGGCACTAAATGTGGTATTCCTTCAGACCTGAAGCTTGGACCAGAAACCTGCTCTGGCTCATGATTTGGAGAGTTGGTGGCCGGTAGATGGGAGGTTGTCAAAATGGAAGCTTTAGCAGGAGACAAAATCCCCGGGAGAGAGTGTGAATGAGCAAAGAGAAGAGGGTAGAATCTGGGGAACCATTTACCTTTAAGGCAGGGATACTGGAAAAGGAGCTCAGAAGACCCAGACAAAGAGGTGGGAGGGAAACCCGGAGGGTGTTGGCATGGCAGCCAGGAGAGGACAGAGTCTGAAAAGTAAGGAGAGGTTCAAGATTGTCAAATGCGGCAGGAGGTCAAGTGAGGTAAGAGCTGGAAGGCTCACACTGAATTGAGCAACATGGAGTTCCCTGGTGATGTTGGTTGGTGCTTCAGTCCAGTGGTGGCCACTCTACTGTGGGGGGACTGAATGGTGACCAGGGAAGACAGACACGGGGTGGGAGGATGGGCAGCTCTTCCAAAATGTTTGGCAATGAAATGGGGAGGGCAAGAAGCTGTTGGCCAGACGGGGGGTGACGTGTTCCTCCAGAGACAAATTTGGCCCTAGTGTTACAGAAAGACAAAACCTTCACGAGCGAGGCTTATAGGAAGGTGCGGGACATTTAGCCTCTGTTAGAAGGGATGAGGTGAAACTGTGGAATCCCACCGCCTACCCCCATCCTCTCTGAACAGACAAGTAAGAATTTCTGGCAATTGTGGAGACAAAATTTTAGAACGGTAACAATGACCGCTGATGTTCTGGTTATTTATATGAGTAATGGCCAAGTTTATTTTGGGATTAGGATTCCAAATTGTAATGCACAATGCAATCAAAATCCCAGAGTTGGGAGGAGGAAAAGAAAAAGAGGGTGAAACGGTAGCCAAAAGAAAAATGACACTGATAGGCTATCAACATTACTGCTATCACTGCAAAAGGAATAATGAAACTAATGGACTGTATTCTGAAAACAGAAAATGCCGTGGGTAACTGATAGAATCCAATGGGACAGATTAAATTTCTTCTACTTTTATGATGAAAACCAGACTTGAAATTACTTTTGATTTGTCTTTTGGCTTTACCACCTGTTTGAGGGAATTCGGATGTAGGCACCTTATCACTGACATTTACTGGTCAAGATAAGAATTGTCTGTTCAGGTTTGTGGGCCATGGGGACTGCCATTATTACAGCCTCAAGGTAGATTACCAGGTGTTGCATAATTATTGCGACATCTAGTCTGTAAGGAGTAAGGAAATTTGCATCTGAGTATAAATATTTGTATTTAATCTTTGTTTCCCTGGAGGGGTGAAAAAAGCTAGGACCCCTGATAAAGTCACCTTATTTAACAAACGTTGGGCATAGTTTTCAGAGATGAAGGAACTATATATAATTCCTAAAATAAACTTTCTCCAAACCAGAGAGCAATTTAAGAAAATGCAAAACTATGAAGAAAGGATATTGGCGAATCTTCCTTAGGTTGCTTCACAGCACTGAGTAATTGCCTTAAGGTAAAAGCTCATCTCTTGTGTTCTAGAAAATTCTCAGACCATTCAAGTCACTAAAAACCACTCATTGTTTTTGATTAACCAGCATGTGAAGAATCTTGTCTAAATGGGTTAGAAATGAAAGTGCCTTGAACAAAAACGTATAGTTTGGAGTTAAGAAATATTGCTGGTTTTGCTCAATTTAGTCATCTATGTAAAGGGTCTCTGGCCTGAGAATAAACTCCTTATTCCCAAATATTTTGAAATATGGAATTAAGTGTGTGTGTGTGTGTGTGTGTATGTGTCTGGCCTGAGAATAATCCCCTTACTCCCAAATATTTTGAAACATGGAATTAAAGTGTGTATGTGTCTGTGTGTGTCTGTGTGGTGGGGAGTTCCCTTCAAGTGTACATCATGTCCTAGGTGGAGCAAATGGATTTACAGGAAGAGGAACTTTCATGTTAGTTCAACTCCTAATTGTAAGTCAAGATGACTCATTTGGGCAACGAAGGTGAAGGTATGTGAGGAAAGAGACAGACTCCTCACTGGCTATTTTTCTACAAGTGAAGATGCTTAAAACCCTAAGTTTCTTCTTAAATGTCTCTTAGTACCTGTCATTTTTGAAGTTGTAAGTGAAAGCTGAGTTTTAAGCACAAAGGAATAAAGGATCCTACACAGTGAAAAAAAAATTGACACAAGAATTTCTCAGAAAAAACTTAGTGAATTTTTATAAACTCTTTGAAGTTGTTCTTGAATGACTGAATTCATTGTCCAAAGACTCAAAGGAGTTGGAATTGGTTGGAATTTTCCACTCTTTGCCATACTCCTGGATCACAGGCACAATTTTTCAAAATATTGGTAGAGCCAGGTCCTAGTGCCAGAATCAGGGAGACATTTTATGTAGTTTCTCCTTCATTAACTATAATTTTAGCTGTTTTTGTTTTGATTGAAATTCTCCTGGTTGGTTCAGTTGGTTAAAGCTGGGGCTAGCTAACTTGGACCAGTGCCAGATATCTGGAGCCAGACAAGCTTATTCTGTCATTGATCACCACCTCCTTCCACCACCCTCTTTCTCCCGGCCAACAGAGGTACCTCACCCTCTTGGCTACATGTTCAGGGTTTAGAACAACCTCTGATGCCCCAGGCAGGTTGGGGTGGAGGTGATGTGGAAAACAGTCATCAATCTCTAGGGGCCAATCATTGTAGTTCTATGTCTTTGTCTGTGAAAAGTTGGGTGGGGAACCTACCTTGAGGACAGTTGGCTTCTTCCATGGGGTAGAGAGGTTCCAGCCTTGACCCCCCTCTAATTGTGATAGGACTCCAGCCATCCCATTTCACACAGTCCCTCACTAGATCCTTTACTTTCACTCTTCAGGGCCTGCCCTGATGATGAGCTTCAGGTATGGAACTCCTTGGGAAAATCCCTTCTCAGGCTCTTGGTGAAAGCCTCAAAGGGACGGAGCGAAGCTGATCATGAATCTGGGTAGAGCAGATCAACCTGCACACTGGTTGATTGCAGAGCTGGAAAAGCCAGGGAGAAAGTTGTTGGTTACTTCTTTTATTTCCCTTTACAGCTGTTGGTCTAGAATCCCACACAGGGATACCCTAGAAAATGTTCAGAAGAAATCAACTTTATCTACTTTCCTTCTGAGAAACTTTTTTGAGTAGCTGCTGGTAAACCTCACCAGCTTTTTCAAGAAGTTCATAAAAGCCACTTAATGTGTTGGAGCATCTTTGTGGTTTCTTTCAGTTGCCTGAACAGAAATGTAATGTTAGGTGCAAGAGACATATAGTAGTGTCTCCCTATGATTTTACACACATCCACATGCAGTTTTCTGTTTATAATTTCCCTCCCCATCTCTTTGCCTTAAACCTTTATAATAAGCTCATTCATTTGTAACTCTACTTGGCTGCCTGATGTTTTTAGAGTAGAATTAGTGCAATTGCTTTCCCCGGTAAAAAGAGGTAGCTTGGCAGTGGTATTGAGAGAGAGGAAAGCTGGCTAGCCAGGGAATGCAATACTAGAAATGTAAGCCCAGTAAACAGCACTGACTCCTTTAGAGAAATGTTTGCTGTCTGGATGTCCCCAGCCTCTTAGCCAAGCGATAGATCAAGCCGGCAGCCCTTTAGATACAAAGATATATGAATGCTCTGCCTACGAATAAACACACTTTGTAAGGAGAGAAAAACTGGTCTGAAGAGAATTTCTCAGGCGCTTTGACTGTCTGATTGCACAAACATCGCCTCGTCAATCTTTCTCACAATCTGAGAGAGGAAGTGGCATGAAAAGGAATGTCTCTGGAGCTGGAGGGTGGGGACAGGAGGGAGGAGACGCTTCCCCGCCATCCGAAGAGGCGGGAGGGCAAAGAAAACCTTCAGGAGGAACCTGCGACGCGGTCCCTCCCCGCGTCCCTCTCCGGGCGGTCCTCTCTCCCCGGGGGCAGCGCCGGGGCCGGGGGGGGGGGGGGGAAGGGGGGGGGGGGAGCCAGGCCGCTGGAGGCGCCGGGTTTCGTGCGCTCGGGCACTGCTGGGGGCGAAAGGCGCAATTCCGCGTCTCCGGGAGGAGAGGCCACGGTCACCCGCGCGGAGGACCATCTCTGGCACCAGACCCAAGCCGGTTCTCTCCGGTGTCTACGCACAGGCGGCCGCGCGTGCCCACGCGCACACATTCCCGCCTCCGCGCGCAACTCCCACGCCCCGGGCCCTGTGCCGGCCAGGCGCCAGATCCGCTTCCCCTGGCGGGACCGAGAGGGTCCTCGGCGGCGTCTTTAAGGCCGCGGTCCCCGCCCCTCCCTCTTCCCCGCCCTCCCCCGCCCGTCCTCCTCGGTGTCGCCGCGGCTCCTCCCGACCTCCCCACGAGCCGGGCTGCCGGGCGTGCGCGGCGCGCGGAGCAGGTGCGGCCGAGCCCCTCGCATGCCGCTGCCCCGCCGGAGGTGCTAGCGGCGCCGGGCGCGCTCCGCCCGCCCCTCCTCCGGGCCGCACTCGGGCTCCGGCGCGCGCGGGGACATGTCGGTGGCGACGGGCAGCAGCGAGGCGGCCGGTGGGGCCGGCGGCAGCGGCGCGCGGGTTTTCTTCCAGAGCCCCCGGGGCGGCGCCGGCGGCAGCCCGGGCTCGAGCAGTGGCTCAGGCTCCTCCCGTGAGGACTCGGCGCCGGTGGCCACGGTGGCCACGGCGGCCACGGCGGGGCAGGTTCAGCAGCAGCAGCGGCGCCACCAGCAGGGAAAAGTGACAGTGAAATATGATCGCAAGGAGCTTCGGAAGCGGCTGGTGCTGGAGGAGTGGATCGTAGAGCAGCTGGGTCAGCTGTACGGATGCGAGGTACCTGAGCGGGGGGCCAGGAGGGTCGGGGGCCTCCCTCGCCACGCTGTGCCCACACCGGAATTCTCCAGGGCTCCAGCTCTCGGGTGCGCACCGCCCTGTCTCCTGGGGACCCAGCGCTGGGAGCGAGGCGCAGGGCGTTCTCTCTCCGGGGTGCCCTCTGGCGCCGGGGCGCCACCGTTGGGACGCCCCTGCCTGGGTCCAGATGCCGGGTGCCCGCAGAGTTGCGGGCCCCCTTGTTGGCAGTGGGGAGCGTTGGGTTTTGCTAAGCACCTTGCTTTTCTTGGGGCCCGGGGCGCCTCTAGCCTCCAGCTGCAGCTACCCTCAGAGGGCTCACCCCAGCTGCGCCTAACCCATCAAGAACAGTACTCACTGCTGAGATCCTGGCAATCCCGATTTCTGTGGAGGGGGAACAGGGAAGGGACCTGAAAGCTGCTTAACGGAGAGGAGAGGTTCTGGGGATCCCAGAGGACCCCTCGATTCCTGAAATTCTACATCAAAATCATGAGATGGACGCTTTCCCTTTTGCAGCCAGCCCCGACGCGCGTCCCCATAATTCATCCTTGCATTTACCCAAGCTGCACACGTTGGGCTTTGTTGAAGCAGCTTTTTTTTCCCCCCCTGGTTGAGCTCGGTTACTCCCGTTGATGGGCGCAGAGTGAGAGCCTTTGGCAACCTGGAAGGGTGCCTGGTGGAAGGAAGGTAGCTCTGCGGGTGGTGTGCGGGTTGCCCCGAATCCACCAGCTTCCCCTCCGCGGCGACCCCTGTGACTTCCTACGGGTTCAGGGGCTAAGGTTCATACACAACTCCGACGGACGCGTAGATGCTTGATGTTAGGAGAAATATTTAGAATAAGCTGTAACAAACGTCTGCTAGAAAAATGACTGAAGCCAAAATGATTCCCCATGAGAGTCTTTAATAACAGCGATTCTGAATGAAGTATTGTACTTCTCTTAAGGGCGTGGAGTTTGGGAAGGGTGGGAGAATGGAGGGGATTAATAATTAAGGATTGGGCTTCTAAGTTAAAGCAGGTTTGTGTCCATACAGCTGTTAGCGCTGTTCAGCAAAAATGAAAGCCAGATGAACTCATTGGCTTTTCTCCTGGTTTGGGGTATTGTGTTTTTCACACATTTTATGGCCTATTGTGAACACATCCTTTCCTTAACATTCTCATGGTAGGAGGCAACAGCATCCTCATTAGGGACTACTGATGAATGATTAGGATATAATGAAGCTTGACTATATGACTAATAGGCTTGTAAAAATATATTGTTTCCCCAGCCTGGCTCTTACAAAAAAAGCCATTTTAATTGCATAAATAAAAACTGGCCAACATAGGAAGTGTTCCTGGGATTTCTTTCTTTCTTTCTTTTTCTTTTCTTTTCTTTTCTTTTCTTTCTTTCTTTCTTTCTTTCTTTCTTTCTTTCTTTCTTTCTTTCTTTCTTTCTTTCTTTCTTTTTCTTTCTTTCTTTCTTTTGAAGGAAGTTGGCAAAACTCTTTCAAGAAACACTGTATTTGATTTAGATGGGATTACTGTTGGGTGGATGGATGTGCTCAATCTTGCCTCTGTAGAATCCAATTAATTTTCATTTATTTCATACTGACCTTTATACTCCATTTTGGATTTGGAGAAGATTTAATAGAAAAATTTTGTGGATCATTTGGTGAGTCTCCATGTGCTGAAATTAAGAGTGCTTTAGCAGTGCTCCTTTTATGGGAGGCTAATTAGGTGTAGTTGGGGAAACTAGAGCGTTCTGGCCCCTTACCAGGTTGGCAAATCAAAAAATTTAAAAATTCTTCAGAATAATTGGGGAAAATGGTGGATTGGATGTTCACTGTATTGAACATGTAGGTTAGATACATATTTTAAAGGGTAAACATCACCTTGAATCTTTTCCTGGTACATCTCTTCTCCTATTTTAGACCTTCTGGCGTACAGCAAACTAGAGATTTGAGAGAGGGCTTTATGCGGCCAGCATGTCATTACAATGTGGCAAGTGTTTCTCTTTCAGTTGTTTGCTCTGTCATTTTAGGTTTAAGGAATATTGGTCATTGAGAAGGTTGTTGGCAGTTTGTAATTACCAAGCTGATGATACACCTTCCTTTAATGACAAAAAGCATGTGGACTCATAAATAGGCGTATAAAGAATTGTTTTCTTCCATCTATTTCTCCACTGGTGGGGCTCTATTTTTAGCTTAGCTTCTCTGTAGCTTCTCTGTAGCCTTTCCTTGCTGATGGCTTCAAGTATGTCAGCTCCTGCTTTCTTAATTGAGAAGGACTAATCGCTCTGAATCTCATGAATGTAGAGGGTAGGGAATGTTCCTTTTACACTTAAAATTGGTAATGTCAAATTTTTACTGCATGCAATTGACACAGAAAGCGAATTTGCCAAACTTCAAACTGGCCGGGGGCCTGAGCTTTCTGCCAAATTGGGGGAGATGATGAACACATATTTAATTTCAGAAGAACTTATATCAGGCCAGTCAGCAGTTGGATGACTTGTCCTTTTCGGAATAGAAAATAGTGATCTTTTGGAGAGGCATAAAGCATGATATTTAAAATTAGGAGTGGGAAAGAAGAAGTACGCAGAATAACTTCCTGGCTGCGGTCTTGTCTTGAAGTTTGCAGTGGCCAATTTTGTATGGAGAATAATCTGAAGACAGCCTCTGTGGAGTGCTAATAAGCTAATAAGACTAATTGATTTAGTCTTCACAACAGCCCTATGAAGAGGTTGCTGTTGTCTGTTTTACAGATGAAGAAACTGAGACCCAGAGTAAGAGGCTTTCCCAAGCTCGCAGAGCTGGCGAAGGGCAGGGCATGGGGATGGGAGTATGAACCGTGGTCGTGTGGCTCTGAGCCCACGTGCTAATCACCAGGCCCTGCCTCTTAAGTTTGCAGGGGCCCATGCAAGAGAACAGATGGAGGCCCTCACAGCATAGGTCTAAATATTTAAATTTTAAATATTTAAAATTTAAAAATAATGCATTTGAAATGAGCATGATATAAAATTTATTCTGTCCACCTCCCTTGACAATGATATCTCCATAGTGGCCTGGAAGGCTAGGTTTGAATTTTGGGACTTCTCAGACTTCTCAGAGCTCACAGCTGGAATGCAGCTGGAGAATCCCCTGGCCTCGTGCCTGCTTTCTTTTCTTCCCACCCACAGTATAGTCTCACCTGGTGAAGAGCATTGTGTCCACTCGCATACCCAATCTCTGTCTACTCTGTCTACCCTTCATCAGACCTTTGGCTCAGACCAGTGGCAAAGGCCCCCTTGGGAGGACAGATCTGGGAGGAGCCTGTTCATGCCCTGGAAATGGCTTGGTATTGGATCAGGAAACTCGGGGGATCTGCAGCAGAGCCTAAAACCAGACAGAGGGACAGCGGTTCCAAGTAGGTGGGTCCAGCTGGTCCTAGGAGCTCTGCAGGAAGATGGGTGTGGGAGGATTAGGGCCCAGGACCCGTGGCTCTTCTGTCCCAGTCTAAGGGCAGTATTGCTGCATGCCACATCAAACAGCCTTTTGGTATAGAGATAAGTGTTTTTTATAAATTCTAAAATGCTTAGTTATGTTTATAGTTATTTTCCATTTCATCTTCTTATACAGATAGTTAAATTTTCAGCTAGGGATTTGGTTATAATGGAACTATTAGGATGGATCTGTATCCTCATTTAAGAATTTCTGTTTTGAGACATTTTCATATCTCATCCAGATCCAGACAGTTTTTAAGAGTGTTTGAAATCTGGCATCGAGTCTCCTTTGACAAGTACTGCAAGATGGCTTACTGGATAATCATATCATTTTTTCTCATCTTGCCCAGTATCAAGATAACATCTGTACTTCAGTTTTGCAATGTGATTTGCTTTGGGAATAAAAGCCTGTTGTTAACCTCAGATTATTGAAATGCCTCTAGCAGCCTCGCCGTAAACAGACTTGTGCGCTGAAGGCATTTCCTGGGTTACCCTGGGGGTCCAGTTAGGCTTTCCCTTTGCTGCAGCTGTCTGCATTTTATTATTTTTATTTTTTTTTAAAGATTTTATTTATTTGTTTGACAGAGAGAGAGAGAGAGAGAGAGAGAACGAACACAAGCAGGGGGAGCGGCAGGCAGAGGGAAAGGGAGAAGCAGGCTCCCCAGTGAGCAAGAAGCCTGATGTGGGGCTCCATCCCAGGACCACGGGATCATGACCTGAGCCGAAGGCAGATGCTTAACTGACTGAGTTAACTGACTGAGCCACCCAGGCGCCCCAGCTGTCTGCATTTTAAAACGTGGTTTCTGGTATGTTATACCTTTGCATCCTCCCTGACTCCCTGTCATTGCTCCTTCTGTAAATCAGTGTTTTTCCAAATGTTTTGATGGTGACCCTAGAAAGAAATACCCTTTAGATTGCTGCCTGACACACGGACACATGGATGTATGAAAGACACATAGATTCAGAAAGCACCACTTAATATTACCATGTATGCTAGAGAATGAAATGACAAGGGTAGTGTAAAATGTGACTTTATTAATGTTTAAATACAATGTTCTATTTCCTTTTCCAGAAGTGCTGGTTGTGACCCTCTAAATTGATTTCAGGGGGCCCTGGGTGGCTCAGTCAGTTAAGTGTCCGACTCTTGATTTTGGCTCAGGGCATGATCTCAGGGTCGTGAGAGTGAGCCCCACATCTGGCCCAGTGCAGACTGGGCGTGGAGCCTGCTTAAGATTCTCTCACTCCCTCTCCCTCTGCCCCTCTTTTTCTCTCTAAAAAAGTTAATTAATTAAAAAAATAAATAGATTCCATAACATTTTTGGACGGTGGCATGCGGTTTAAAAAATACTCCTCCAGGGGCACCTCGGTGGCTCAGTCAGTTAAGCGTGTGACTCTTGATTTCAGTTCAGGTCATGATCTCAGGGTTGCGAGATCAAGCCCCGAGTTGGGCTTGGCGCTCAGCGGGGGGTCTGAGATTCTCTCTCTTCCCTCCGCCCTTCCCCCCTCTCTGTCTGTCTAGAATAAATAAAT